CGAGGGCAAATTTCAAGAACGCGCTCGAGTGTTCGCGCAAGAAGACGAGGGTGTGAGTGAGATGTGGCAAGGCGTGGAGGTGTCGGGCGTTAGTAGCAAGGTTGCTGACTGGCAAGTAATCGCGGAGATTGAGTATCGAGGAAGTATGCGAAATCCGGAGGGCAGCCAGGATACACGGCAAAGACCAACGCGCAGTGCGCGCACGTGCTAGCGAGGCATATTCCCCGGGAGGAGTCTGTTTTATGACAGACAACATAGGATTGATGGTTAAGCGAGCCATGGGTCTGTCCATGTATGACGAATTTGGTAGTCCATGGGATTTCAATTGTGATGTTATGTGGAGCATAGCTAAGAATGTTGAAAAGCACTTGGCCTTCAGCAGACTTCGGACACTCGGCCATGAGAGGTTTGACGAACAGAACGTGAAGGATATTCTGGGACAGGTATCTACACGCCTGCTTTGGAATTATGATTTGCAGAGAAGGAGCGGGCTATATTTCTTGTGCGAGCATCCATCCGGAGCTTCAAGTTGGAGCTCGGCGTCGTTCCAGAGGTTGCGCAGGCAACCCGGCAACCACAGGTTGCTGTGTACGCGGGGGACATGTGCCAACATGGCATGAAACAAGTGCTCCAATGCGAGGAGCTGTTGCTGAAAATGCCCACGGTCCACGCAGTCCATGGGTCAAGCGTGCTTATATGGGCAGGGAAGTTAACCTGAGGTTCCGAGGGCAACGTCGAGGCGTGAAGTAAACGGGAGGTGGTCGCACTTGGAGATCAGAGATCAGGGGTTGGTAAGACAAGTTAAGGAAGATGATCGGCATGGGTGCTCACCCAAAGCAGACGAAGTTACCGGCCGAGTGGCCGAGGAGGAACCCATGTGCATCATGGAAGGGCGATGTGCCGACAATGCGGGATGCTACGAATTGGAATGTACTCGCGACGACCGCGGGACCGCGAGACCTGTGTTACCTGGCGAAGATGGACCAGAGTGGAGCATGTGTGCCCGCCGAGTTGCGCGAGACCTGGACACTGGACATTTGCCCGAAGATAGACCTGTCAACGAGATCACCGGACGTCAAAGGAGACGAGAAGTCAAGGGCTGGCCCGGGAAAATCGTTACCCGTTTCGCTTCCCGACCCATCGGGGGCGCTTAACCACGCAAGTGGGAATGCCGAGACTGTCGACGCGTTGACTGGTTAAAACGCCAGGCGTGCTTGAGGCCTGCGAGGCGATCGGGACAGTTGGACCCTTGGTAAAGAGACCCATGCTTTTTTTTTCAAACCGCGAGACAGATGGAAAGGCGCATGCATGGGATGACGTGTCAGGGACGGAGTTAGACGCTCATCTGACGCGAAAAAGCCATATTAGAAGGAATGGAGCAGTTCAAAAAGCACAGTGTACGAGTTGCTTGGGTCTTACCGGAAAGGGCCCGATCGGGACAATATGGACATACGTCCACAAGGATGAGGTCTCGCCAGGATGTCCGCCCAGGCAAGTATCGCAGCAGATCGCGCACAATTCCAAACATAAGAACGTCTTCGCAGCCGCGCCACCGTTAGAGGCACTGGCGCGGCTGTTCTCAATGGCAGCCACTGAAGCCATCGGATTCAAGAAGGGAGATCGTGATATTCATTGATGTTCGGCGGGCGTACTTTTGCGCGGAAGTCGAGGAGGATCTCTTCGTGGAGTTATTTTATGAGGGCCGCGAGCCTGGCGCGCCTGGAGGTTTCTCAAATCCATGGGTGGCGCGGCACGCCGCCAGTAATTCGGCAGATTGTTACGTGGATTTTGCTTGGGGCATTGTTTTCACCGGCGCGTTAGCATGTCCATGCGCGTTCAGACATCGCGCCAGAAGGATGTGATTATCCGTGCGCGGCGACAACTGTGCGTCGTTAGGGTACGACGCCGGACAGGTTCGAAGCGAAAGGAGAAGTTCGAGGCGAGGGTGAGAGGATAATTCGGTCCGGGAGCCAGGAAGGTGGAGGATCAGTCGATCAGGGTCTTGGGCCATAGGAACAGACCAGACGCATGTTGAACACGTAGTTTAATACAGTGTTTGTACCTCTTCAGCAAGACAACCAGATCTGATGAGTTACAGTGAGGAGGATGAGATGACTTACCCCCAGTTGATGTGAGCTGAAGAAGTATGAAGCGTTGGTGGCGAGAGCTATCTGACAGCTGTGACGCACGCCGCAAGTAGTGCTATTTATCTAGGCACCAGGTTACCCGCGGAAGTAACCACATGAGTGGGCACCGATTACGCCGGACGCAGGAAGTCAAGGAACTCCACGAGAGGGAAGGTAGTTCTGTGGGGTATGGAAGTACATCGTCGATCCATGGATGTCGACCCAGAGCGTCATTGCATTATCGTCTGACGAAGCAGAGTGTTATGGCACGGCGAAAGGATCGCCAGTGGCCCTAGTCATGCAAGTTGTATTATTGAAGTCTGTTGTTATTGAGGCGAAGTTGACCTTGAAGAGCGGTGCCAGCGCAGCAGCGGCTATAGCCATCAAGAGTGCGATAGGAAGGGGGGCGCACGTTCTCCAATCTGTGGTTTCATGGGAAAGTAAGGCGAGGAGACAGCGGAGTCGTCGGAGTTTCCACCGGAGAGAATCTGGCGGGCACGTTTACCAAGTACGTTGGCAGCGAAATGCTCGGGAAACACATGCGCGACATACGTCAGCTCCGCGCGGGGAGGCATATTTCGGCGAGCGCCAGCCACAGAGTGTTGGATGTCCGCGGCCGTTTGAAGTCAAGGAGTTGCTGCTGCTACCTTTCCAGTTTCCCGGGCCCTGCCAAGTTGCCAGCCGCCGATGTTGCGCGGCGTCTGACGGCCGCCCCGCTCCCGAGCGCGTTTCGCCCCTGGCTGGCGATGGTCCCGCTGCCGCGGCCGGGCGCTGTCCGGGGGGGAAGTCGCCGGGGGTCATTTCCTGGAACGCATGGCCAATCATGAAGTGAGTTGATCATGGGTTTGGCGGGCCAGCTGCGCGGCGCGACCGAGGGTGGCGCCCGCCGTTGCGTCGAGGAGGCCGATGCAAACCGCCGCGCGCGTCGCGCCGAGTCGGATTATGGTGGATCGCGATGCAGCTTCGCAGGGGGCGACCAATGCCCGCGTCCGAGTCGCCAGGGTCAACGAAGATATCATCGATATTTCTAACGAGCTTGATCTGCCCAAGGAAACGCGCCAGCTGCTCGAGGAGCAGGTTCACCGGCTCAAAATGGCGCAGGACAGCAACGAGGGCGCGCGGGCCGCGGAACAGTGCAACGTCGCGAAGAACGTGGCCAGGGCGCGGAGTTAGCCAATAAGGCCTCGAGGATCGTCGAGCGTCTGCCCGAGCCGGCCCAGGTTCGGGCAAAAGTGGGAGCTGCATCTCGAATGGGAGAGATATCCGACAGGGTGTGCCCGGCATGGCGATTGCGTCCACCGCGGCAAGTCCAGCGTCGCAGAGGTTGCCAGTTATGCGCGGTTGTTGTCGCCCTCTGGCGACCGGGCGTCTGGGTCGCCGCCCCCGAGCCCATCGCCGACCGACGTTGCTGAGGAGGACAATTTGGCCGAGAGGCGCAGCCGCCCCAGGTGCAAGATGAGCGACCGTTGCCCCCGCGGCGACGGCCAGAGCCCCAGTGGGAGCTCTGAACCGCTCGTTGCCCGAGGCGACCGGCGGCGCGTCGAGCAGCGGCGGGGCGTCGGCGAGTGGAGTTAATTTGCCTCTGGCGGCGCCTTCGCTGGCGGCTGCCGAAGAGATCAAGGGGGCGGGCGAGTTGCCGGCTGGCCCGCGCCAGCGTCCAGTTCCAGCCGACGAGCCCGCGGAGGGCCCCGCGTTTGCTGGAGGCGCTGCCGGGGCTATTCCCCTACCTCAGGCGGGCAATCTGCCGCCCGCAGAGGCGCCGATTGCGGCCGAGCAGACCGCTCGCGACAAGGTCCATGCCATCTTGAGGTCCCAGACAATGCCGCTGCTCACCTGTTTCCGCGAGCCACCGGTTAACAGCGACATGCGCGGTCCCGATGTCATTCCGAACCCGCGAGAGATGTCTACCCAGACGATGCGCACATTCTGGCGCAAGTACAATGGCAATTTGATCGGCGAACCAGCTCCCAGGTTATCCAGGCCTCCTAAATGGGGTCGGAGTAGATGGGGTCGGAGGATCGCGCCGCATCGCCGATGCATCGACGAAACGGCTCGATGCGGAGCCCAATTGTGTCCACGCCGACGGCGCCGATACATCGGCGACATCGACGATGCATCGCTGGTGCATCGCCGATGCATCGCGATGTATCGGCGATGCGGCTCGATCCTCCGACCCTATCTACCCCGACCCCATCTAGGAGGCCTCTAGGTTACTCGCGCATGTTCATGGAGGCGAGGTTACCCAGGGCGATAACGATAATTTCCAGTCCAGATTCGGGCCGTTATTCGGGGACATTTATCGGCAGTTACCCACGGCGCAGTTAGAGCCCCGCCTGCGCGGCAAACCCACGCGCAGAGCCGAACGGCGTCAGTTATGGGTTCAAACCATCTCAGCACCGCAATCCAAATTGTCCCGCGGTTGCCAGGCGCCCAGGAACCTTGCTGAATTACACCCGAGTTTCACCGCCCGCCCGTGTTCAGGGTTCTCGAGTCAGGCTCCAGAGTCACAGGCCTGCATCCAGGACCTTCCAGAGTTTCAGGGGGAGGAGTTGCTGAATTTGGTCGTTACCCGGTTTGGCATGTGCTAGCTTGGGAGCCCGTTCGTTATCGGTGTTAAGATATTGCGCGAGGAGTCTTGGAGTGACCGTGGGGAGATCGCCAAGGGCAGCATGGCCTTGGGTTTGGCGCCCAAGAGTTCGCCGAGCATTTCTTAGATATTGCCGATGGGTTAGAGGTCTTCTACCAGCAGTGCGACGCCATCGGGCATTGGAACCGGGGCGAGTTCCAGGCGGACCAAACGTTCGTTCCATCAGCGCGCATGTTGGCTCGTTACCTTTAACTATTCTGGGCGTTGGGCACCGCGCGAACCATCGTATGGGATCGCTGTTCTGGCAGGTGACGGTACCAGGTCGCGACTTTTACGCGTGGGCGAAATGCAGCCGCAGGTTGGGGAACTCTTGCGGTGGTTGCGAGCTCCGCCGCATGAGGCGCAAAAGTCCTCACTTCCCGCGTTACCTGCGCGCGCATGACCGCACCTCCCGGGAGGCTGCTGGTTTCCATGATCCCTTCACCGACAAGACCGCCAAGTTCAAGGGACATGTTGACGTCTGTGCTCGTTGCGGTTGCCGGATCGACATCGAGCAGTTTCAGAACGCGTGGTCGAGCACGGGCTGTTGTAATCCCAGCGATGCTGTCAACAGGTTGCCCATGCTTTGGTCCGATGACCACGGCGGTGACGCGAGGAGGGCCGTTGACTGGGTGCATTGGCCCCTTGCGCCTGGGCGTCGTCAAGACGCCGGCTGGTCAAGATCTACATCCTCATTTTCATCTACATGAAGATGTAATCGAACATGCTGTTACAACATACCGTTTTGACTATAGTGATCACTTGAACCTGTTACATTAGTTTGCACTCACGCCGAATTCGCTTATGTACATAATTATCCAGCTGAAGTTGTCAATTCGGGTCGGGTAGTTTGACAGTTACCCATCCGGGCGACGTTGATGTTCCATTTGCCCAGACCATTAATTTTGTTACCACCTTCCCCATCAGCCAGAACAGGCCGAGTGGGGTGTAAGTATAAGGAGGGTGACCGGGTCGGAAAATTGTGTCCTCTCGTTACCGAGCGTGCGTTGCGATCGACGCCGTTTGGTTTGAGTGATTGATCGTTAACGTTCGTGTCGAGCGCATCGGCCCGAGAAAGCATCATTATCGTTATCGTGCTTATCTTCCCCGTGGATTTGCAGGATGAGGACGAGGAGGAGGAGAAAGAGGGAGGAGGAGGAGGAGGAGGAAGAGGAGGAAGGGAGGCCTGGTGTCGGAACCCAGCCTTTGGGGACGCACGCCCGCGGGGAGGGCCGCATGGCCCGAAGGCCGCTTCCCTCCCGGTTGCCCCCTTTGCTTCGCCTTGGACCGCCTCGCCCCGGCCCGCTTTGGACCGCTTAGCCGCTTGTCGGAGAAGGTGAAAGTGCCCATGCCACTGCCCGTCCCGTCTTTTCTCCTTCTTCGGCCTCCTGGGAGGCCCTCGTCGCCACCGATGGGCTCGCTTCATAATTGTGGTCAGAACGCACACCAGGAAAAGGCCGTGGAGCAGCGGTATCGACACCGCTGCGTTTCCCAAAACCCATTTGCTTCGTCGTCGTCGCTGCTCGCCCTGGCCTGCCCGTCTGGGACCGCCCGACCGACCCGCCCAGTGTTAGATGCTGCCCGCCCGACCCTCCCGTTAAGGCCTGCTTGGTCGTTTGCGTCCCGCCTGCTTGGGGTTGCCTCGGGGGTCTCTGTGGGGCTTCTGGGGCCACGACGGGGGGAGCTACGAGATGTCAATTCGTATTGCCCCTTCTGGGCCTTTCTGGGGGCCTTCGTGGGCCGTCTTAGGGCCCCCGACCCGCCCGTTGGAGCCTGCCCGCCCGACCCCCGCGTTCTGGACTGCTGGCTCGTTTGCTTGCAAGCCCGCCCGCCCGCCTTCTCGGCGGTGCGGCTCGATGTGGAGCCCGATTTTCTCCACGCCGACGTCGCCGATGCATCGCGAATGCGTTGCCGATGTAGCGCTGACATCGGCGATGCGGTGCATATCCTCGGGCCCCATCCAGGAGGCTTCTACTCCGGAGTGGCGGATGCCAGGGCCAGGGCCATGAGGCCATGCTCCCCAGATTTCATGGTGCCCGTTCCACTGTTGGACGCGCCCCCTCTTGGACGCCCCCGACCTTCATGTCCCGCCCGCCCGACCGACCCGTCCACCAGGGGCCCCCTCCCGCGGCCCGCGGGCGAGGCGGCCCGTGGGCGGGCGAGACCACAGGCGAGAAGCAGGCCGCTGGCGACTTGGTCCTTAGGCCAAGCTGTCCTCCAGGGAAGCGGGCCTCCTTCTCCTCCCTCCTCCCTCCTCCGCCCTCCCTCCTTTCTCCTCTTCCTCCCCTCCCTCCCTCCACCCGCTGCTGCTGCTGCTGCTGAAGGCTATCCTGGTCTGTGACCTGAAGCCTGTGTCCCCTCGCTGCCGTGTGGCAGGGAGGGGATCACTCAGGAAACGGCTCGCTTGCGGCCGTTGGTGGGGCCGGCGAGCGGGACGACACAAGGGGGGGGGGGGAACACGAAAAAGGGGGCCGAAGCGAGGGCGAAGCGAGGGACCGAGCCAGCGAGGAGGGACGAGAGGGACGCAGGTGGCGGGCCGCGGTCCGGCGCGCTGGCCCCCCAGGGTGGACTACCAAGGGGGGGAAAGGGCGGGGGCGAGCAGGCCGAGGGGCCGGAAGGGGGGGGCACGAGTGAGTGGTCCGCCAGGGCCGCCGAGGGGATTCCATTGCTTGCTCCCTGCTGGCCCCGGCACATCCCGCCTGCGCCTCCCGCCTGCCCCCGCCCCCGCTCCCTTTCGGGCGCCGCTCTGGGGCCTCACCGGCTTGAGATCCTCGCTGTTGGTCCGGTTCTGATCGGAGCGGAAGGGGGTGTTGTCGTCCCCTCGCCTGCTTGAAATCTTGGCTATTGGTCGGTTCGTGTCGGAGCCTGGGTGGGTGTTGTCGTCACTTGGAAAGCGGTCGGTGTTGTCGTGGGGAGGTCGTCGGGTGCGTGTTGGGGAAGGGTGGCGTGGGGTGGGGTGGGGAAGTCTTCGCGCGGGTGCGTCATGGTGGGGATCCAGGGATGGACCCGGCCCGTACCACGAGCCAGTTGCCGATACGGCGGGGGTTGGAGAGGAGTGGTCGGCGTTGACCGAGTATTAGGCTGGTGTCGTTGCTGCAGGGTGCAGCTGTTCCCTGCCCTCGGTAGCCATGCGTGGGTGGGTGGCTGGGTGCAGTCTCTATGGTGCGTCGGCGAATCGCACGCGCCGAATGGGCCTACCATCGGTAGGGGCGTTGTCGGTTGGGAGGACTTCGGGCTTCAAGTTCCGAGGTGTTTGGGCGGGGGCATCGTCGTCGTCGGGTATGGGCGCTGGCCAGGGCGTCGGTGAAGCGATTCGTCGTGGGAAAGGGTCCGGAACGAGGGGCTGGGTGGGGCGTCAAGTGTGGGGTCGTGTGCGTCAGGTCGGCCGCTGAGTGGTCCAGCGCCTGGAGTCCCGCCTCCATCTCGCGAGTGATCCGGAGTTGCTGCTGCAGGGCCCTCTTGGCCCGTCGGCGCTCGTCGTGGAAGTGCTGAATCTGGGTGTCGATGGCGCTGGTGCTGGCGACGTCGCCGGTGTGGGCGCTGGCGGCGGTGCTGGTGGTGGCGATGAAGCTTTGGGTCCAGCGGGCCTCGAGGTCCCACAGGGTGGATGTCATCCACCTGGGGGCGCGGGTTGGGGTGTGGGGTAGGACGTCGCGGGTTTGGGGGTCGTGGGGCAAGGATCGAGCGTCGGCTCTGTCGGGTTGGGGTAGAAGGTCAGGTGGGGCAGCGGGTGGGGCTTCGGGCGTTGGGTGGTCGTCGGCCGAGGCGTCGGGTAAAGAGTGGGGCGGGGCGTAGGGGTGGGAGTCGGACAGGACGTCGGGTCGTCGTGGTGAGCCGTCGTGGGAGGGCAGAGCGTAGGGCAGGGAGTTCGTGGGCGGGGGCGTCTTGGTAGTAAGGCGCGTCGTCGTGGGGGGAGGGGCGTCGGGGCGTCGCTGTAGTGGTCGTGGTCGTCAGCGTCGTGGGGAGAGGCCTCGGGTCGTTCATGTCGGGGCGGGCACAGGGTGGGCCGGAGGGGTGTCCTTGTGGGGTGGGTCGGAGGGGCGTCCTTCCGGGTCGTCCAGCCGTCTGTGTAGGGGGCGCTGGCCGCGCGGCCGAGGCAGGTGCAGTAGGCCGTGTGGCGAGGCGTTGGGTTTCGGGAAGGGGGGTCGTCGCGGCAGGGCTTGGCGTCGTCGTGGGGGCCGTCGGGGCGGGGGGTCGCGGCGGGGGGAGCGTGGTCGCCCTCGTCGCCGTCCTCCTGGCCTTCCTCCTCCTTGCCATCGCCCTTCCTGTTGGTGTTGGCGTTTGCGTAGGCGTACGCGGGCGTCCTTCTGCCTCTGGTCGACGTCCTCCTCCAGCGCGCGCCCGACGTCATTCTCGTGGCCGAAGTCGAGGCGGACCTGGCGCGGGGCAGCCGCCTGGTGTTGGTCAGCTCTGGATTTCGTGGCGGATCTAGCCGTGGCGACCAGAGAGGGGCCTTCGGCGACGTAGCCCGAAGGGCTAGGTCTGGGGGGGGGGTCCGCCGAGGGGATCCCACGGGGGGATTCCCATCTTGTATTTTATTTCTTTTTGGCTACGGCCCAGGTCTACTCCAGGATAGAACGCCCAAGGGGGCCAGTCGGCGCTGTCGCAGGCTACGCTGGCCCCATGCGGGACCTCCCGGGCGCCTTCTTCGTCCTCGTTCTCCTGGTCCCTCCTCGCGAAGGCAGCCTGGTCACCTGGCGCGGGTTGCGTGCCGCCTGGGTCTCCTCGGCCGCGGGCGGGGCTGCGTGTCGGCGCGCCTGCCCCCTGGCTAACGCAGCCGCCGCGGTGGCCGCCAGGCAGCTCTGGGCGGGGCGGGCGACACGCACCTGTCAGCGGCGTCGGCGGCGGCGCCGTCCAGCAGCGCCGGCGGCGGGGCAGTCCAGCAGCCTGGTGGCGCGGCGGGGAGCTCGTCCTGCGGCACGCCCCTGTCGCGGTGAACCTCGATGATGATATATTTGGTGCCGGTGGGCTGCACGTCATTAATGTTGGTGTCGACGAAGGGTTGTTGTCCCCTGCTCGCGCCTTCGTTGTGCTGCTTGTCATGCAGGTGGTTACGGGCATTGCCCGTGTGTTGTAATGGTCCCTGGCACGCGAGTTGCATCACGTAGCAGATGGCGATGGGCCAGCCGAGCCGCGAGGCACAGGCCAACCTGCGGCAGGCCTTAAAGGCAGCCTCGCTGTCATGAGGATCTGTCTCCGCAGGTAATCTTGGTGGTTGCGAGGGCGTGGGCGGGGCGCTGGCTCCCGG